TTTACAAAGTTGGGTGTTTGTGGTGTTAGCATAAATTAGTAATACCCGTTTATTTATTAACCTTTTTTATTTTCGTCTGATTTCTTTGCTTCAAGTTTTTCGTCTTGTTGTAATGAACCGACTAGTGAAGCGATTAAACTTGTTCTTTTACGTTCAGATCTTCTTTCTGGTGTTTCTCTTAATTCTTGTTCAATCATTTCGTGTAAATATCGATCAATAGTTGATACAGCTCGTCGATATGCAGGATTTAATAAATAAATGCAAGCCAGAAACGTTGGCATTTGAAGGACAATTGATCCTGTTGTGAGATAAACATGCAAAGCATGAGTAAGTTCATTTTTCTGACTATTATATTCATCATCAAGTGTTTGAAGATCATAATTAAAAGCAACATAACCAAAAATTGCAAGTAATAATTGTCGACATTGTTCAATCATATTTAAATGAACTTCTTTTGAATCATTATTATAATTTTGCCAACGAGTTAACATTTTATCCGTGCAATCGAAGATCGTGTCTAAATGTGTGTTTACTTTACTACGACGAAATACTGGACTGACAATACTGGCATATCGTTTGAATGTAGCTCCTTAAATAGTCATTGATAAAATTAATTATATAGATCATTTAAAAGAGACTCAAACCTTTCAAGGAAATCAATGAATAAGGACTAAAGATATTGACTTTTTTAATAAATAAATCTCCTTCATCACAAATATGTCGATGACTATATATATGTTGAAAATCTTCAAGGTGTCCAATGACAATAAGACGCGTAGGACCAAGCCAATATTGAAAAATATCACCGAATTTTGTTTTCAGATCGAGCAATGCTACATGGAAAGAGATATTTTTTTCCGATAGCACCTGTTTGCAGCAAATTTCCAACGAGAAATTGAGGTGGTATACCGGGTATTGAATCATGCACAGTGAAATAAACACGTTTTATGTAATAGAATAAAAGTCCCAGCAATAGAATAACGATAGAGACCGTGAGTAATACCATATTTGTCTTATATTAATGAGATGTCTAATATAGTACACTCGAATAATATTATAATAGACATTTTCTTTTTCCTGTTCTCTTCTGTTGCGCCGAGAGAAAAACTTGTCAACAAAAATACATGGAAGAGAAAAAAATAAGGCAAAGTTTTTTTTTTCGTTTTCTTTCTGTGGATTGTATTGCATGAAAAATATTGCTCTATCTTAGACGTCTAATAGAGTCTATAATGTCAACCATGTGAGTAGTTAATGTTGCTAAGCAGAATAGACTTTCAAAAAAAGATTTTTTTTGTAACAACATTTACCATTGTTGCTTCGACACTAAAAATTTGAACTAGCTTTTGGTTAAAGAGCAAAATATGTGCGAAACAGAATTCACAACTTTCGGACAACTTCTACGTTTCAGCAAGATATAGCATTGGACAAAATGAAAGGATTTATAGAAAATATAACTAAGTCAAATCCGATCCCATGTTACAACAAAAAACACATACAGAATTGAAGCATACGGATGATGTATCATCGAAATATACAGTGACGTCATAATTTCTCTTTTCTCCTCTGATCTTTTGTTTTTCGAGAATATTCTCATTCTCTATTGAGTATACATATATATACTTCTGTTCTCATTGACGAATTTACATTGTTCTTGAATTTGCCAAAGCATATCATGTCTCTTTCGAACTTGTACTCTTTATTTCTTTATACCGTTTGTACAATAAAAATTAAACAAATGGAATTCTATGGAAATGATGAAGTCGACGACGAGTCCTATGAATCATATGCCATTAATGATACCAACGAGAGTGACTTCGATTTCGATTACGATGAACTAGCCGATAACTTAGATGAGCTTGAACTTTCTGATGATGATTTGGATGTATACGTAGAGAAGTTGAATTCAATGAATGAAAGTTATATCGCGAATGGCGGCTTTATTTCAATCTCTCTCAAAGAGTGGACTCCAGTTTCAGTCTTTAGAACATTCTTTACTGAAGAAATTTTAAATCTGATTACTGACCAAACAAACATTTATGGAAAAGGAAAGAAACGAAGTAACAAACAGAATAAAACCAGTAACTGGAAGGATGTGAGCAAAAAAGATATTGAATCGTTTCTCGAATTGATCATTCTAATGAGTATCAATAACTTGCCAAATATGAAACTTTATTGGAGTAAAGATATGGTATTCCATAATACATTTATTTCTTCGATCATGTCAAGAAATCGTTTTCTTCACATTTTTTATAATTTACATTTGGCTGATAGCTCATTGAAGGGTGTGGGTGTGGGGTGTGTGGGTGTGGAGTGTATGTGTGGGTGTGGGTGTGGGTTGGTGTGGGTGTGAGTATGGGGATCTCTTTGATCACACTCCCACCCACACTTATCCACCTGCACCCACACCCACCCACACCCCATACCCACACCCACACCCACACCCACACCCAC